AGCCTCCTGGGGTTACTTTTTACTTTCAGTTAGGAAGCAGATTACTTTTCTCCAAGTTAAACTCCACAGCAATATACATGTGTTGCGTTAAGTTGATGTACAGAACATATTTAGGTGGGCTACTCTTTAGAAATTAGAATGCTGAGAAAGGGAGGGGATGTAAACCTTTCAAAAGGCTTAGGAAGGGGCAGAGGGAGGGGAGGCCACAGGCCACTCCAAAGAAGCAGTCCTGTTACATCCTGACTCAATCTAAATGGTCATCTCCACATCTGAATTCCTGCTAAGGAAACTATTCTAACTTTTGCTTTCCTTCTAGTCAAGGAAAGCATTTTAACCTCACCAGGGCATTCTGCCACTGCTATTGGCCTTCCTCCTGGGTAGCAGGGGTCCTAGCAGGTAGCTACTAAGGTGTGTTATTCTAGACCAAAATGTCAGTTGCTTCTGAGGCAATTCATTTCCCAGAGGAAAGCACTGTCAATTTAGAAAACCAACTCTACTTCTCTTCCAACCAATAGGACAAGTCCTAGGAAAAATGGTACATTTCCACATACCATTGCAGGCTCATGTGGCTTCCCTCCTCTCTCACATCTGCCCCTTGGTAAAAGGCCCTGTCCATGAAGTCTCTGAGGTCAAGAGCCATTGCCATGTTCCCTAGAAGAACAGTATATAGACACCCTGCATGACTAGCTTTCAGCCCTGCTTCTCCTTTTCCTCTCTATAAAATCTCCTCCAGAGGGCGCTTTGAGGAGGTAATCCATCTATCTTTTCAGGATTGCTTGCCCTTGAATAAATTTGATCCTTTCCTACCAATTCTCATCTCCCAAATATTGGCTTTATGTGGCAGGCAACCTGGACCTTAATTTTGATAACAAGTAGATGCTATCAATTATTGCCTGGACATTTTCCCAAGATTTATTTACATATTCATGTAAACTGCTGTTACTTCAGTGGCCCAAGCAACAAAGTAGAGAAGATTAAATGAGATTTCTAGAAAAATAAAAATTATCTACATAAATTTTATGAGAACTGAACTGTATTTTTCTATAGCCTTAAATTTACTAAGACTACTAAGACTGCTTGTGTGAGGGTGAAAGACCCCAGCCCAACAACGTCAGGCCTAGTTGCAAAACCACCCAGGCATGTCACAAACCTACGCAGGCACCAGAGGTGTTTTTCAGATAATTAGTTAGGTGTAACCGGTTGGGAAAGGACAAAGGACCAGGTCCCAAGGCATGCCTGAATGAGCAGGGACAGGAGGACAAGAGTGCAAATATGTAGCTTTTATGTGGTTCTTTTTCAGTAACATACAGTGAAAAACAACTTTGCCCTTTAGGTAGCCTATATGCTAGGTTTAAAATTAACCTATTGTTTAAACTGCCCCTTTACCCTATAAAAATCTCTGTATCCCCAAGCCCGGTGTGCCAGTTCACCAAAGCTCCTGCTGAGGTTCTGCTGGGCACCCGCAGGCGCCTGTGTCTCAATAAACCCCTCTTGCTTTTGCAGCCAGTGTTTCGTGTGATTCTCCTTGGACAGGGAAACGGGGGTCTTTCAAGGGGCAGTTACTTACCAATTCCTTGGCCCCTGTGATAAAAATCTGGTTTAACCAAATTTAGACACATAAGGCTCTTTGCCTTGAAGACCTCATTTATAATTGTGCTCTAATATTTCTTCCAACTCTTAGAGGGATAGCTTTTTAAAACTCCAAAACTAATAAAAAGATAACTCAGGGAAATAAGTATTTTCTGAAATACTAGCAAATTCTATCCTTATAAACAAAAATATTAAGGAACTTGAAATTCCTTTTAAAATCCTTTACAAATGCATATAGGACTATTTCTAAGACCATTCAGAAAGCCACATTAATCACAACTTTACATCTCATCTGGGCAAAACGGTTAAGAATCCAGGGCTGGAGATGTGGCTCAAGTACTAGCGCCCTTGCCTAGCATGCGTGGGGCACTGGGTTTGATCCTCAGCACCACATTAAAAAAAATAAAGATATTAAAAAAAAAAAAAAAGGAATTCCAGCCTAGAGATACACTGAGCACAAGAAGGGACTTTTTTTTTTTTTTTTTTTTGGCCATGCTGGGGCTCAAACCCAGGGCCTTGGGCACAAAAGGCACAAACCCTACCAACTGAGCTATATTTACAGCCCCCACAAGAAGAGATTTTTAAGATCAACAAAACAGCACAAGGAGAGGTTTGCAGAAAGTTTAGTATGTGTCCCTCAGAATGTCTGAGCCCATTCCCCACCTCATATCAAAAGGAGGAATTATCCTGGGAGTCTTTGCTTGACTATTCCACCAGCCTTGATTTCAGGGTAAAGCCTAGTCTTTAGGTCAATTCCTTATGATACAGAGTGAGAAAAATGGGGGTAATGTGATACAGCTAGAAAAACTATTTAAGAGACAGAGGAGGGACTTGGGCCGAGAGGTTAAATGTCAAGCCCTGTGGCTGAGACAAAGTGGTGGGTAAGAAATGCCTGAAGAAGTTGGCTGCTATTAGCCCTTTAGCTCCAAGAACTGGAATTTTCATGGGTTCTCAAAGTCTGGTCTTGGGATCACCAGTACCAGCATGGGATCTTGGTATAAATGCAAAATCTCAGGCCCAACCCCAGGCCCACAAAAATCACAACTCTGAAACTGAGACCTAGCATCTGTGTTTTAATAACCTCTTCAGTGATCCTGATGACTGTTACAGCTTGAAAACAACTGATTTAACAAAACATTGTTTGACATATTGAGACCTCACACAGCAATTCATTAAACCAGTTAGTATTAGGCTGATTGGGCTGCTGTAGTAGAAAATTTCACATTTGGTGGCTTAAAACAACGTAATTCTATTTTCTTACAGTTCTGGAGGCCACAAGTAAAATGAGTCTGATCTGGCTCAAGTATTACCCAGGCTGGCTCTGGAGGATCCCAGGGGACTGTCCATTCCCTTGCTTTTCCCAGCTTCTAGAGGCTGTCCTTATCTCTTGGCTCATGACCGCTTCCTCTTTCCTCAAAAGGCAGCACCTTCCAAACTCTCACCATACATTGCTTCCTCCCCCAACTCTTTTTATTCCACTGCTTCTCTTATAAGGGCCCTTGTGATGACAATGACACACTCAGAATAATCTCCCCATCTCAAGATCTGTAACTTAATCACATCAGCAAAATCCCTTTTGCCATGAAAAGTAATATACTCACAGGTTCTGGGGAATAGGATGTGGACATCTTAAGGAGGCCATGATTCTGTCTACTGTGGGAGGAACATGAGACCATGTGCTTTGAATTGCTTATATCCACATAAATAAAGCCTGTAAGGAAACTAATCAATGTGATTACCTCTGAGGTAGGTAGGACACGGGGGAAGGGAAACATGGATGAGAAAGGACTTTGTTCCCAAAGTTTACTTTTTATATTTTGAGCTTTGAGCCAAGCAAAAATATTACCGATTACACAATGTTAACACACATTCATGAAAATAAAGAGATCAATTTAAGTAATTTCTGGTCATTAGGCTATTCTGTTTGAACATAACATGTCAGAGACTAAACCTGGGAATTTTGGAGTCCTTGAGGTTACAAGTGTTAAAAGCAAAAGCATTCCAGCGGTGATGCAGGTAGCCAGGGAGGAAGAAGACATAGGATCTCCCTTAGATCTAAAGGAAAGAAAATAGACACTAAGTCACAGGTAAGGGACTAAGCTGAACTTTTATGGAAAATGTAACGTTTTGGGTTTTGTTAATTTGTTTGGGAGTTCTCCTGTGGGTCCTATGGGATCCAAGTCCCCAATAAAAGAGGGGCTGAGGTCCCCATTCCTTTCCCTTAATTTTTTATAAATAAGTAACATACTATGTTCACTAAACTGCATGCCATTTTCTTTGCATGCCTTTTCTTAAGTAGGAGTAAATAAGAGAGCTCTTTGTTTTTGAATATGTACAAGAATGCCGTCAGACACTCTCACACTAATGATGATCATTAGCTAGCTGAAGAATTTTAAACTGGAACAGCAGAGCAGGACAACTGAGAATTTGAGAACATAGCCTGCCTTATGACAGGGAAATCTTTCATGCAGTTAAGGGAGCATTTGTATACTCTGTGTATACACACTTGATAAATGTGCAACACTGAGGGCACCTGCCCCTTCACAACACCCCATAACCACTCTTCCATCTCTTTATCCCAGTTTACTACTGGATGTCTACTGGAGACTCCCAGACAGAAGTATCCCAAGGATCCTTTGTTCATGTTCTACATCCACTTAATGGCTCACTGCGTATTACTTTTCTGTTCTATATATTCAACTCACCAGACAACTGGCCACCCTCAACACCCAGAGCCCCATATGCACCTGACTCTGATACCCCTAACACAGGGCAAACAAAGCTTAGTATGAGCACATTTTCCATTTTCAAGTTTGTGATTACTTCTCCTGTATAAATGATCTGGCTTTTTCAGTGCCCTTTACTATAGTTATGCTGGCCTCTGCTTGACAGAGGGTTAGGAAGATAAGTCAAGACATGGTCCCTGACACAAGTAATGGTCAAGTAGAGACAACTAACACTGCAAAGGCTCTAAGTGCCACAATAAAGGTATGATGAAGAGCTAAGGAAGGACACATGTAGAAGCAATTCATTCTTCCTGAAGAGTCAGAGACAGCAAAATAAAAAGGATGTTTCAGTTGGGTTTTACTGGATATGCAGGATTTTGCAAATTCTGCAAATTGATTTTCCCACAGAACTCAATCCTATGTCAAATAATTATCAAAGTATTTTCAAGAATAAAGACAGTTACCTTCCTAAAAGAAATTTTTATTCTTTAAACAGTTGCTAAAAATAATACAAATTCTTTTATCATACCATGCATGAGTCATCTATAATATCAACAACATGTAAAATATTTTGTAATGGAAATTATCTATGAAATAATTATGCTTGATAAATGTAAGGTAATATTCCCTAAATCATTTCAGCAATTCAACACTCAAGGTAAAATAAAACTACAGGACACTCTGTTAAACTTGTTTTAAAAAAAAGGTTTATTTGTTACAAAATGTTAAATACTAAAGCTAAAAACATATAAATTCAGGTCAAGCTATATTAAAATACACACATACCCTTCTTTGCAAAATTGTTAAAGATTGAATTAAACAGATGCTTTAAATAAAATAAAGTACTATTTGAGGTTATTTTTGTCTAATTAACCATATCAGTGTAGTGTAGAGTTTGTAAAATTATAGTTGAAAAGTTTTGCTCTCTTGGAATCAAATTTATTCAATCTTTAGTCTTCTGCTACTACCCAATGTGAAGCTATCATGCTGGCTTGAACAGGGTAAGTCTGTTATGATACTGAAAATTCTCTATCACAAATCTAGTCTTATATCATGAACATGGAATAGTCAAAGTATATAAAGGATTAAATAGAATGAAAACCTGGCTCTGAAACAAAAGGCCTTAGTTCTACTATATAGTATCTTCTCTAAATAAAATGGTAGGTAAATATACTGAAGCAGAGATCAGCACAAAGCATACATCCATTTAGAAATAATTTTTAGTTGGGGGGAAAAAAATCTCAAAAACAACACTCACTTCTCCAAGATAACTGATAAGTAAAATTTCTTATTATTTTAAATTGAGTAAATTCAAAAGTCTTGAGTCTACGCGTTCAATGCATTTAAAAACTAATTTGATTCTACTCTGACTAGCTCTGCAAAATTGTGACATCTGACTGGGTCACACAGGAGGAAGAATTTTCATAATAAAAACACACTCAATACCAAGGAGTACCAGTTTTCAAATTCAACCCCCACTCAGGTCAAACAGCCTAAACGAAACGGCTATATTCTATTGAAATCTTAAAAAAAAGTGTTTTTGAGAAAAGACTTTGCTTTGTTTTGTACTTATATTTTTCAATTTCCTAAAGGTTTTAGAATTTTAAGTGCTGTAATTAATATGGGGATGAGACTATGCTTATGAAGAACAAAAGGTTATCACTGCATTTTAAAAGTTCATAAATGTGAATGAATTTCTAGAAATCTGCTATAGGTCTACTCTTTTACAATGTTAATCCTAGCCTCATAGGTTCTGCCAATCTTTGATTAACCCAAGGGATTAAACAAAAAGCATAAAATTCCAGCAGTCTTCACTTACACAGTCCAATTAAAATCAGGTTTCTTGGAATATATCTAGAGGAAATTTTTAGTGCTTTCCTCTTTCAGTGATGGCATACATACAAGGGTTAACTGTAAGGAATCCTAATATTATAAGATTATTTAATCAGATCTTTAAGAAGTTGGAAAAAATATACGTATTCTAAAGTCACTGGAGGTTAACAGAAAGATATAGTCCAGTATAAAATTACAGATGACAATAATGTTCACAATAAATAGTAATCGGATTGCCCATCTCCAGGCTTATAGACTTCTGATGTCATCATTTCTATACACGTGTAATATGAGAGAGGTTCTAATCTGTCCTCCATCGAAGTACCCTTCTCTCCACACATGACAAATCTTTGATACATATCCTTTCTTCTAACTTACTGGGTAACCTTAAGGGACAAGATTCATGCTACTCCATATCAAATAGCTTTGCAGTCCTTGGAAAGAATTCAAACAGTTCAAGCCACTGACATCCACGTCCTACTCTTAGCAAAAACACTTACCAAAAAAAAAAAATTTCTTGAGCCTTCATAGCAAATTCTCTAGAAAGCACCTTTTCCTGTGAGCATCTAGTAGAATGTATATTAAAATCAGGCAAGTAGGTCACTCTCACCAACATCCTGATGTTACAGAATCATCAAAGTAACTCTTCTTCTGTGATACAGCCTAAATGTGAGTGTTTTAAGACAAAACAACACTCATTTGCCAGAGGATGTGGCAACAGAGGCCCTGGGTGGTAAGGACTTCCCCAAAGGTGGGAATCCATATATGTTCTCTTCCCTTGATATCAGAGCCTCTTTTCTTTCAGACAGAATGATATTTGAATCAGAAAACTTCATATTTTTTTTTTTCTGTCAGGAAAGATCCATAATTTAGGGGACACTGTGCCAGGTAAAAACACAGGGCCCTTCTTCAATCATTATTAAGAATTTTGTGACTGCAACAGCACAACACTAAAAAAATGCCCTGCCCTTCTAAGTGGGAAACCTTTGTGACTGAAGGTCACCCACAGACAAAGCTGACCCTGGTTCAGTTTCCTGCCTAATCAAAATCCCAGGGAGGACACTAGGTGATTCAGGTGGATTGTCCAGATAAAAGAATTTTTTTTTTCATGATGTTGATTCAAACACTGTCACTGCTTTGGAACCAAGTGGCCCATCACTTTCCAAATATCTCAACTTGAACTGTTTCGTCTTCCCCTATATTTCTCATGGAGAAATAACTACACTGGGTATTTGAAAACCCTGTATTTTAATAATTAATCAGACATGATGAAATTTCTATATTAATCCTAAATGATTTTTTAAAATTTAAACATTTCTTATCAGGGAGGGTTCTTAATATCACTAAAGCAACAGGACATCTTATAGGGGAAACACAGCTGTACAACAGCTTTATGTTTTAGGGTGAAGCCTGTTTTAGTCGGTAGTATAGTTTGTTCCCTTTTAAGATCACAATAGTTTTTTTTTCATGGAGAACTAATAAACACATTAAACTGTATGATAATCTTTGTTTTAACGCCCACATTGGTTTCAGTCATACGAGTTTCACTGCAACCCATTCTCCATAATAATAAAAAAGTGTACTTATATAAAAGCTCCAGGTTACATTACTAAGCAACGGCATTTCCGGGAGTGAATATACTTCCTGTATTCTGCAAGTTGCTTCAAGTACATATTTGATGGCCATCTGTGCTTTTCAACAAAACTGCGTTCTTCCACTAAAATTGTAAGAAAGAGAATGTGAATGAATACATTTTATTCTTGATCAAAGTATTAACCACTGACTTCCTATGTAACAGATAAGATCTGAGCTTTCCCTCAAGCCTTCCAAATCATTTAACGCCATCCCAGTTAAATCAGTCATCAGAATTTAAGTTATTATGTGATTTTACAATTATATACATCTCATCCACTGCTTCATCAAGTAGTATTTGACTATTTTACTTCTTTTTTTTTTTTTTTCAATAAAACTTTTTTTTTCCTGGAGATAACTGGCTCCTTTTTTCCACCTAATTCTCTTTGTAGCTAACTTGGCCATCCAAACTCTGTGAAGTGCTCCTAGTTGTTTCCCACCAAGATGCAATCATCCAGCATCCAGTTGTGGCTGGTGCCCAGGGCCCTTCTCATGGAGCCCTCGCCCTCTTGCTTTCCAGGCCTATCCATGCCTTTGTGCTGGATCTCACCATTTCTCAACTCTTGGGCCTTTACTTTGTTTATCCCCTTTGTTTTGGTGAAGTACAACCTGCTATTAGTGTTCTGAAAATGGGGCCTTTGAGAAGTTTTTCTGAGGTCTTGCTTGTGATGAAATGTCTTTAGTCTATGCTCACACATGATAGATTATGTGGTTTGGTATAGAATTCTGGGTTGAAACTCCCCTTATGAGGTTGAAGATGTTTTCCACTGCTTTCTACGTTCTAGAACTCCACCGCCACGCAGACTCACAGTCCTTTGAGGGTGGATCTGTGTTTTTTCAATCTTGGAAACTTAATTTTCTTTTTACACTCTGTTCTTGCACGTACTAATGATGTACTTTGTATGTTCATTTAGCTGAGCAAACTCTTTTCATTAGTTGATTCAAGTCTTTCAGTACGAAAATAACTTCTTGATTTATTTCTTTGATAATTTCCTCCCCATTGGATTTTTCCCCCCTGTATGAACTTCTAATAGACACTGAACTTCTAGAAAAATACTCCAATTAAAAATTGGAGTCTCAATCTAGAAAAAGACTCCAATTAATAAAACTAAAACTTTCTCTCCTATCTGTCCCTGAATTTTTTGTCCTACTTTCCAAGAGATTACTTTTGCTTTTTAATTATTTTATTTAGTTGATTTTTCATTTTTATATAGTTTATATTTTTGCTATCATATTTTTAATTTTTAAGACCATCATTTTTATTGTTTTTTAAAATTGTGGTAAATACACATACCATAAAATGTGCCATTCTAATTTTAAATATACAGTTCAATAGTGTTAAGTACATTCACACTGTTACACAAGAAAGAATCTCCAGATTCTTTTCAACTTGCAAAACTAAAACTCTACCCATTAAACAAATCCCTATATCCCCCTTTACCCAGGCCCTGGAAACCATCATTTTAAACTTTCTAACTTTATGAATATTATTTGTTTTCCTTCCTTCCTTCTTCCCCCTTCACCACCACCACCTCTTTTGTACCAGAGATTGAACCCACGGGAGGTTTACTCCTGAGCTACATCCCTAGTCTTTTTTTATTTTGTTTTGAAATAGGTTCTTGCTAAGTTGCTGAAGCTGGCCTCAAACTTGCAATGTTCTCCTCAGCCTCCCTAGTCACTGGGATTATAGAACTATGCTTTGCACCCAGCTGAATATTTATTATAGTTCTAGTTCTACTTTATGAATGCATATCTCTTATTCTTTGAAATTGCAACACCTAAAATCTGTGGGTACCCCTAAAATCTGCAGTTACCCCTAAAATCTGTGGGCACTCCTGTATCTATGTTCCTTTAAGCACATTCTCTTTTATTTTTGTTTATTTAGTTTCATTTTTGGTATACATTTTTTATATCAGTGATTGCTCCAAATATCTTTATATTTCCTTTCTTTTTTTTTCAATAATGTTTTTTTTTTCCCATCTTTATTTTCATTCATTTGGTTTTATGTAGTGCTGAGAATCCAACCCAGTGCCTCACACATGCTAGGCAAATAACTTTTGATCCTCAGTGATATTTTCATATTCAACAGTGAGATACTAGAGAGCTGTCTAGAAACCTCTGGGGTATGGGTAAGACTTGGTGACTGGAAGAATACACACCACATGATAGAGTGAATTTCTCCCAAATGATTGCATTTGTGCATTTTCCCACTGCACAGGGCATGGAGGGGAGGGTGGCAAATACCTAAGTGCCAGAATTCTAGAACCTGGATATGGGAAGGAGGGTGGAACCTCATTAAATAATCTATACACTTTCACATAACCCCCTGCTTCAGCCTAGCTCCTCATTCTTTATCCCATCAATACCCAGAGTTCATGATTCTATAACATGTTTTGTTTTAATGCCTCCATAAGTAAACTTCCTATTTCCTGTGAAGAAAAGAAGCAGCTGCCTGAGTAGGAGGTGAGGGTGTGGCAAAAGATTCAACTCATCCCACTGCCTTGGCCCCACGCCTTGTCCTGGTTTCTCAAACACCTGCTACCTCAAACATGTAAGGCTAGCTTCTGGGATTCTGCTGGGTGAATCAGCTTGTTTCCCCTTCTGTATGCACTGAGGCTTCTTTCTGCTAAACCAGTTTCCACTTCTCCATCTGTTCCATAACCTCAACTACTGGAATCTGGATTAACAAGGTCGGGGGTTTAGGCTGCAGGACCTGAATAAGCAGAAACAAGCTGGACGCTCAGGGAAACTATAGTTCTCTAGGTTCCAGGAGACAAGATATGACAGGCTCAGTTAAGACAAAACACCAGAGAACAATTATCACCCGTGAATTCAGGCAGACAGAAAAAAAAAAAAAAAACCCACAATATTAAGCTAAATTAAACTGATAAAAATGAATCTATAGCCGCCAAGGGTCATATATTCCTATGAGTTGCTGTTCGTAATATTTAATGAGCTATTTAACCAGGGTTCTCAGATATCCATGTCTTGATGAGATTTTTTTTCTAGTCTCACCTACTCATTTCTAATCGCCTCTAAATAAGAAAAATTCTTAGTTAAGAGAAAACAATTTGTAGAATTTCAACAATGGGATAATTCCTAAAACTGAAAATGGGCAATTCTATAAGGAAACTAGAGAAATTGTGATGAGAACCCTTTTGAACTTCAAGTGACCATGTGAAACAAGCTGGGTATGAGGGAGAGAGGAGAGCTGCCTGCAACACTTGGAAAGACACGCTCCTCTCAGTGGCAGCCACTGCCCTGCTCAGGCTTTTGCCCATGGAAAGATGGGTGCAGAGTACTCACATCTTCCAGTTTTCAAAGTAGCCAGAAACACGGAGTTTTAAAATGCCAACATAACATTAAAATGAAAATTTTTAAACGCGGTTCACATAAAGCCCTCGACAGACTACAATGAACCTATGGAGGGCCAGTGTGTAACTATTGATTTAGAGAATCAAATCTCAGCCCCCCCCCGTCTCCCCCAACCAGAAGGGCTTTATGCCTCTGCTAAAGAGTACCACACACCATGGCAGGCTGCTGAACCCAAACAGGCACCTTGGAACAAGAGAGCTCAGGATACCCCCACAATTCCCACCCACAAAACAGAGGCAGCCATTGCAGAGCCTTCAGCTCCTTGCTCTGCCCACTCAGATTACACCCTGCAGCCCTGCTTTTCACTATTCCAGTTAGTGATTATATACTTTATAGGCAATTATATAAGTAATAAAATATAATAAAATTAATGACATGAAGGATTTATAGAGCACCTTTCTCCCAAGGCTGTAATAGTATGCCATGATAGCATATAGCTATATAAAACAGTAAGCAGAACATAATGTTATTCTTCTTTCATAATGAAGGTGACTTAAGGTGGCATAGTAACCGAAGCTCAGGGAGTATTGACTGCTTAAAGAATGACTATGCAAGAATGTCCCTACCAACTGACAGGAAGTAGAAGCCTGCTTTACCTTTATGAATGAACTTTATTTTTCTTACACAATGTAGACACAAAATAATACTTATTGATTTGCTTTGATTTTATTGTTACTCTACTGTCTTCATAGTTGAGCTCCATGTAAAGGGGGGGGCGATCTCAATAAGCACGTAATGTTTTTTGATTGGCTGCACATCTCTGTCAAAAACTGACTGGGTGGGCTGGGGATATAGCTCAGTTGGTAGAGTACTTGCCTTGCATGCACAAGGCCCTGGGTTCAATCCCCAGTACCACAAAAAACAAAAAAACAAAAACAAAAAACTGGGTGCTCCTTGTTTTCCATAAATGCTTGAGTACTCGCATGAGTACCTGAAGGAAACCCAGAGATTTTCATGTCTTTTACTAATTAAACTTTTAAGCAGAACTCCAAGGTATAAAACAGAAGTGGAATCAACTAGAAGGAGGAAGAGAAGAGTCCAAGAACCATAGATTTTCCCTTTCCCTTATTCTTTCCCGGTTCTTTTCCTCATTCACTCCTTGCTTTCTGCAACTTGCCCCCAGAAGACCTTCAGGCATCTCCATGGAGACCTCTTTGGCCAGAGCTTGAAAGTACTTGACCAGGTGTCCAGTCATTTCCTTGTCTTTTTAGTTCAATTTTTCCTCAACTCTATCTGTGACAATGTGAGCAAACCATTGTATCTAGCTGTCTAATAGTCTGTCAACTATTCTATTTTCTTTTTCTTTCCTCTTACACAGTACTAGGAATCTCATCCTTAACTGGTTTTACTCTTTGTAATTTAACTTAGAAATCACATTATGTATGCTTTCTGATCAGTAAGTTTCATAACACTTTCAATCAACAACAAAAAAGTTATTTCAAAGTAATATAGGAGGGTCCTGCATATATATATACATAATGAATACAAATATCTAATACAATAAAACTGTTTATTATAAATATTAAGCAATAAATTCCTTTATAAGAAATAAATTTGAATGTATTGTTAAATTTTGCTTCTGACTTACATAGATAGTTAAAACTAAGATCTCAGGTATCACAGCCAAATGCCACCTGAGGACACATTTCACCACCTTCTCTATTTCAGGGGAAAAAAAAGTTTTTAAAAATGAATGGGAGTTATGAAATAATCATTAAAAAACTTCTTGTGTAACACAGGTCAAGCTGCTTATATAACCCTGCACAATTTAAAAGGAATGTAGTACATTGACTCTTCTTATTGTGATAAAACTGCTACTTTTACAAAATATGTCTCAAATCTAAGAAAAAAGAACAAAGTTTTCTTTGCAAAGCATAAATTGGAGATCTACCTGAAAGATCCTGAAATTCAGGCTTTTGACTGAAGATGAGGTAGTTAGTCGCAATGAAATGAAGCAGCCAGGTTGAAAGGCAATCAGAGTGGTGGAACTGGAAGAAAAATGAAAAAGAAACAACAATGTACATCACGCCCTTTGATCAGGAAGACGACCAGATAGAGAGAGTGACTTGGGAGGAACCATGGAAGAGTCCATATTCACATGTAAGTGCCCACGCATGATGCAGCCTTGAGGCTGCTGTGACTGCAGAAAGGGAAGTGGACCATCATTAACAAATAACAGTGAAGTTAATAGCTAAACTGTGGAGCCAACCTAGATGCTCTTCAGTAGATGAATGGATAAAAAAAAAAATGTTGCATATATACACAATGGAATTTTACTCGGCAATAAAAGAATAAAATCATGGTACTTGCAGGTAAATGGCATTAGAGAAGATAAAGTGAAGTTAGTCAATCCCAAAAAAACAAATGCCAAATGTTTTCTCTGATATAAGGAGGCTGATTCATAGTGGGGTAGGGAGGAGGAGCATGGGAGGAACAGAGGAACTCTAGATAGAGCAGAGAGGTGGGAGGGAAAGGGAGGAGGCAGGGAGTTAGCAAGGATGGTGAAATGTGATAGACATTATTATCCAAAGCACATGTCTGAAGACACGAATTAGTGTCAACATACTTTATATACAACCAGAGACAATGAAAAAAATGTGCTGTATATGTGTAATAAGAATTGTAATGCATTCTGCTGTCATTTACTTATATTTTTTTTCAAATCAATAAAAAAAGAAAAAAAAATAACAGTGAAGTGACATCATTCAATGAAGAAGCTAAATCAATAGTGAACAACAAGCTACTGCTGCCGTAGTGGCCAAATGTCTTTAATCAGAGGTATGGCTGTGCCTGTGGTTAACCAAGAGTATTAGAGGTTCTTGAGGTTTTTTTCTTTTTTGATACTGGGGATTGAACCCAGGGCCTCACACATGGTAGGTGGTAAACACTCTACCACTGAGTTACATCCCCAGCCCCTTTGCTTTTTTTCAATTTGAGACAGTCTCACTAACTTGCCCAAGCTGGCCTTGAACCTGTGATCCTGCCTCAGCTTCCCAAGTACAGGCTGGGATTACAGACATGTAGCAACAGGTACAACTTAATTTAAACTTTTAACTAAGGTCATGGAGTTCACTAACTACATTTGTGTCTGTGGAGCAGAAGATTATGGTCAGCAACATCCAAACAAGTTCATTTGAAGAACAAACCAAAAACTACTTTGAGGAGGAAACATCAGCCTAAAGGCATGGGTTTCCATGTGTAAATATTCTTATGAGAAAGTTATACCTGAATAGTTGCTTTAATGGGTATACTGCTATACTGAGAAGGGTTTTCTACACAATTCCTATTTCAACACTGCAAGTAGACGGAACATCGTGGCTATTGACATCATCATCTCAATGAAAACCAGTAATATTCACTGATCCATCCAATCACCAATTTGGATTATAGTAACTTGTTGATAGGCAACTTTATTATTATTATGATTTTGGTAAATTATGCATCAGACTTACCATTTTAAGCATCTTTAAGTGAATTGTTCAGTGGCATTAAGCACCTTAACATTAATTGTTCAGTGGCGTTAAGCACATGGCTGTGCAACAAGTACCACTATCCATTTCCAGAACTGTTTATCACCCCAAACTGAAATCCTGTACCCACTAAATATTAATTTCTCTTAACCCCATATGCCCAGGCCCTGGTAACCACTATTCTACTTTCTAAATTCTAAATTTGACTATTCTAGGTACCTCACATAAGTAGAATCATAGAATATTTGTTCTTCAGAGTCTGGCTTATTTCACTTGCATAATGTCTTCCAAGGTTCATCCATGTTGTACTATATATCAAAATTTAATTTATTTTTACGGCTGAATAATATTCCACTGTATTTTATTTATATGTATAAATGTGTGTATATGTATATATATAATTATTATATAACACATATATAATACACACACACACACACACACACACACACACCATTTTTTTTATCCATTTATCCTCAGATGGACATTTAGGTTGTTTCCACCTGTAGGTTAGTTATAGCTCTTCTAACAATACTCAAAAATGTTAAATAAGCAATAAGTGATGCTAAATTAAAGAGAGTTATAATATATCAAATCTTTTTTTTTTTTTGGTACCCGAAATTGAATTCAGGGGCACTCAACCACTGAACGACATCCCCAACACTTTTTTGTATTTTATTTAGAGACAGGGTCTCACTGAGTTGCTTAGCACCTTGCTGTTGCTGAGGCTGGTTTTGAACTCGCAATCCTCCTGCCTCAGTCTCCCTAGCCACTGGGATTACAGGGCTAGGGAGGCTGTGCCTCCATAATATCATAAATCCTTAAGAAGGAAACTCATGGATGAGAACTTTTAAACCTTGCCAGGTATGGTGGCACATACCTACAATTCCACCTTTTTGGGAGGCTAAGGCAGGATGACTCCAGCTTCTAGGCCAGCCTAGGCAATTTAGACCCTGTCTCAGAATAAAAAAATTTTAAAAAGAGGGGGGATGGCTGGCAGTGTAACACACTCTCTCTCTCTCTCTCTCTCTCTCTCTCTCTCTCTCTCTCATATATATATATATATATATATATATATATATATATATACATACACACACACACACACACACATATATATATATATATATGCACACACACTATATATATATAGTGTGTGTGTGTTTTGATATATAAATTCACAAGTACCTCTTATTTTCAGTACATATAATTAGAATTTTCAATTGGAAGGAAGTTTACAGCTCATCTAATCAATCCAATTCACATTTTAACAATTTTCTCCCCTTTCAGCAGATGAATGTGACTAATCTCAGGGGAATAGAATAAGAACCTATAAACTACTTTAACAGAAGCCACCATTACTGTTAGATGATTAACCCAGAGCAGATAACTTATCACCAGAAGGTCAGGACATTGCCTAAGGGCTGTGACTTTGAAAGAGAAAGGAGATCACAGATATGAACAGCTAACTACAAAGACATGACTTAAAATGCAAAATTTTATTTTTTGACCAAGATATGATACCAGCACCATGACAGCTTGACAAGAGATGAAATACACATCATTATAAAAATTAAGTTTTTTGAAAAAAGTATTTGCTAACCTAAAATAATAGGTTCAAGTTGAAATAAGCAAAAGGAAAAAAGAGAAAAGCATTAAAAAAATCTATAAACCAAATGCAAGAGTTTAAGAGCTATATGAAGAATATGGAGAAGATTCCCAGGAACTCACAAAAAAAGGTCAGAAAGAAAGCTTGTAGACACAGGTGGCCAAATACTAACATACATTATAAGAAAAATAATTTAAATTTTAATATGAGATTAAATACAACTTCATAGGAATCAAAGTACAGACAGATGGGGCTTAAATGAGGTTAGAGATAAAGAATCTTCACATCAGTCTGGAAAAAGTGATATGGCTGATGGAAATAAGCATCTCTTTGTGTTAAGAGATGGCATATATAATGCAATGTCTTGATGGACATATAGGAACCTGAAGACAGAATCATGGCAGAGAATTAAGAAAGGTTCGGGAAGAGTGGAATCAGAAATGAGAGAATACCCAAACTGCTCATCTATAAAAGACATGAAAGATGCTTTCCTGATATGTGGTCCAAAACTGGCAGGGATGAGAACAAACTGACTGAAGTTTTGATTATTCAGAAAGCTACTAGGGAATCTAATTCTGCTAAAAGTAGCCAGAGAAATGGTGAGAGAAAAAATTTACCATATCAGAATGAGGTGGGTGGTAAAATGGAACATGAAACTAGGAACTTCGGGCTGGAGATGTGGCTTGGGCGGTAGCGCGCTCGCCTGGCATGCGTGCGGCCCGGGTTCGATCCTCAGCACCACATACCAACAAAGATGTTGTGTCCGCCGA